TAGTAGTAGTAGTAGTAGTAGTAGTAGTAGTAGTAGTAGTAGTAGTAGTAGTAGTAGTAGTAGTAGTAGTAGTAGTAGTAGTAGTAGTAGTAGTAGTAGTAGTAGTAGTAGTAGTAGTAGTAGTTAGTAGTTAGTCGTAGTAGTAGTAGTTAGTAGTTAGTAGTTAGTAGTAGTAGTAGTAGCAGTAGTAAAGTAGTAGTAGTAGTAGTAGTAGTCGTAGTATAGTAGGTAGTAGTAGTAGTAGTAAGTAGTCGTAGTAGTAGTAGTAGTGTAGTAGTAGTAGGGAGTACTAGTAGTAGTACTAGGAAGGAGGAGGAGGAGGAGGAGGAGGTAGGAGGTAGGGAGGAGGAGGAGGGAGGAGGGAAAGGAGGAGGAGGGGGAGGACGGGGGAGGACGAACGCTAAAGCCATGTCGCTGAAACATGCTTAACGTAAGCAACAGCAGGAGGATGGAGAGGAAAACAACGAAGAGGAGGAGGATGGGCAGGAGGCGGAGGAGGAGAGGGAGGAGGAGGAGGACGAGGAGGAGGAGGGGGAGGAGGAGGAGGAGGAGGATGAGGAGGGAGAGGAGGAGGAGGAGGAGGAGGAGGACGAGGATGTGCAGGAGGAGGAGGAGAAGGAGGAGGAGGAGGAGGAGGAAGAAGGAGGCGAATAAGAAGAGGAGGCGGAGGAGGAGGAGGAGGGGGGGGAGGCGGAGGAGCTCGGCCCGCCTCACCCAGAGGAGGCCTCCTTTTTTCTCGTGCCCTACCCTGCTTCGCCTGCCGCCTCTCCTGCCTTCGCCTCCCCGCCAGCCTCCTCGTCGTCGTCCTCCTCCTCCTCCTGGTTCTCCTGCTCATTCTCCTTCTCCTCATCTTCCTCCTCCTCCCTCTTGTTCTCCTCGCTCCTCCTAAGAGCCATCCGATGTCTTGATCTGCTCCATGTGCGGATCTCGGGACGCCCGACCCTCTCCCCAGGGCCGACTCTTCCTCCCAGGCAGTGGCCTAAGTGTCCCAGGGCCCGGTGCGGGGCCCCCAGCTCAGAAGCGGCCGAACGCTTCCTGTCGTGAGTTGTTTGATTCACGACGTGAGCGTCTCTGAGCTGCCTCCCCCCCCCTCGTGCGTCCTCCTCCCCCCGACAGAGGTCATGGGCTGACAGCTAGCACCCTTGCTTGTGCGACCTCCAGGCTTCTCGGGGTGGCGTTCCGGGGGAGTCATGGGTCTGTGTGTGTGTGTTGTCGGACGCGGGTCCCCGCTCGAACGGGTGCCCCCCTGCGGCGCTCGACAGCTCGCGCACCCATGCCTGTAGGTAGCGCCTTCGTCGCCTTCCTATCCTCCCAGCGGCCGACGGCTGCTGCATGGCGTGTCTGGCGCTGGCGCGCCGCGCTCTTTTGCGGGACACGCTACGCATCCTCCTCCTCCTGGCCCCCCCGCGTCGACGTCCCGAGCCGTTCCGGGCTGCCCGCCCCGCGGAGCGGAGCGGCCCGCCATCCGCTCGCACGGCGCGGCGTGCTGCTCGGGCCGCCGTGCCGACACGCCAGACGAGTGCTGCCGACCTCCCGACCCCTGGAACTCTTGGCGCTTCGCGTCCTGCTGGTGGTCCTCCTCAACGTGTAGGTGATGTCGATCGACTCGAGTTCCGCCATTTTGGTGCTGCACTTCGCCTGGAAGGGCTTCCTGGTGTGCGCCCTCCCCTGAGCGGCAGCGAGGCTCGCCTCCTGCTTGCTCCTCTCCCCGCTTCTCTTTTCTTGTTTCGCTCCTCTTTCTCCCTGCGCGCGTGCTTTAGGCCGTTGCTCGTGTAATACGCTCCTGGACGCCGCCCGACTTTTTTCGACGCGGTCGCGATCAAGAAGTATCCCCACTAGCTGCTGCCGCTTGCACTGCGTTTGGCTTCGCTACGGGCGCGGCCCGCCCTAGCACGCTCGGCGTTCGACTCGTGTCGCGCGTCCGCGGACCAAAAGTATCCCCACCAGCCCATCCAGACACGAGCGGAGGCTTCCTCGAGGCCTCCTGGAGGCTATCCTGAGCCATGCTCGGCTGGAGGCTGTCAGAGGCAATCCTGCGCCACGCTCAGCTTTCTTGGGCCATCTTGAGGCCATCTTGAAGCCTTTTTGAGGTCTGTCGGAGGCTATGCTTAGCCATGCTTGGCTTCCTGGGATCAGCTTGGGGGGTCGGAGGAGGAGGGGGAGGATGAGGAGGAGGAGGAGGAGGAGGAGGAGGAGGAGGAGAAGAGCAGGAGGGGAAATACTTTGAGGAGGAGGTAGAGGCGCAGGAGGAGGAGGAGGAATACAAACGACAGAGAAGGAACTGGAGGGGGAATAATGCGAGGATAGAGGGAGGAGGAGAAGGAGCAGGAGGAAGAAGAGGAGGAGGAGGAAAGGGAGGAGGAGGCAGGAAAGGAGGAGGGAAGGAGCGGACGATGACAAGGATAATGAGAAACCGTGCTTTTGAGATGGGCTGTTTTGAGAGGTTCTTGAAGGACGAGCACGGCCATCTTGGGGGCTGTCTGGAGATCCCTGTGGGGCCTTGTTGCGTCACTCTTGGGGCCCTCCTAGGGCTCGTGTTGGGAGTCTTGAGGCCCTCTTAGAGCTCATTGGAGGGGTCTGGGAGGCCCCTTGGCCTTCATGGCTCGAAAATAGCGGGGAGGCACAAGTCTTCCTCCTCTGATACTCGAACATGGCGTCTTGGGGCCCTGTGGGGCCGCTCATTGGTGTCTCTTGGGCGCTATTGGGGCCGTCTTTGGGCGTTCTTGAGCCCCTCTTGGGGCTCTCTTCGGCCACCCTGGGTCCATCTTGAGGTTTCAAAAGCTTACTGGACACGCAAAAGCGAAAAGGCAACAACTATGCATGAGGCCTTTGGAGGATTTTCGGTCTCTTGGAGGCTACGAAGGCTCACAGGGCGCATGGAACCATCTCGGGGCTGTCTTGGGGCCTCCTGGAGGTATGTAGCAGACTACATTGAAACATCTTCGGCGATCTTGAGCCATCATTGAGGCCGTCTTAGGCTGCCGAGGGCCCTTTTGGAGCCATCTTGGGCCCATCTTGAAAGTCTAACTACCCGGCCCTCCCCTTCCAGGCCTAGGCGATGCCTCCCGAGCAGGGGAAGAGGAGGGGGGGGGGAGAAGACAAACCTCGCTAAGCCACTCACGCCCCATGGGGCTGGCAGGAGTAAGTTGGAGCGCGTGCCGATCTCCCCTCAAGAGATCCAGCGGAGTGCGGCGCCCCCCCCCCAGCTCTACCCGGCGGACTCTGCTGCGACCGCGCTCGTGGGCGCGCCGCCCCGCCGCGCCGCCGCCGTCCCTTCCCGCCGCCGCGGGCTGCCGCAGAGTTCTCAGCAGCCGTGTGACGCGCACGTGAGAAGTGGAAGAGGAGGAGGAGGAGGAGGAGAAGGAGGGGGAGGAGGATGAGGAGGAGGAGGAGGGGGAGGAGGAGGAGGAGGAGGAGGAGGAGGAGGAGGAGGAGGAGGAGGAGGAGGAGGGAGGAGGAGGAGGAGGCTGTCTCGCCGTGCTACGTCCAGATGCCTGACGGCCCGGCAGCAGCCTCTGAGGTCAAGCTCGGAGGAGGCCTGGAAGGTTTTGGCACCATCACCGCGATCGGCGGCGTGTCTCCCGCCGAGGCGAAGAGGACACCCCGATCTCTTCGATGGCTTCCTGGGCGTCCGAATGATATGATTACACCTCATGGAGATAATCGCCCTGACCAGGTTTGGCCGGAGGGGATTGTCCGGGAGGAGTTGCCAGGTAATTGAGAGTGGGCCCTGGGGGGGTGGCCGGGCTTCTCGTTGCACGGGTAGCTTATCACCGTCGTGAAGTGTGCACGAAGTTTTTCCGTTGGAGGCAATCGTGCCGAATCTCCATGTTGATTCTCCTCGAAGTCCTAGGCAATGTCATCTTCCTCCTCTTTGTCCTCCGCTGGCGGCTTCCTATTCTGTCGTCATCGTTCTCCTATTGCGCATCGTCCTCATTCTCCTAAAGTTTTCTGACCCTCATCATACTTCCCATATTCTGTCTTCTCTGACTCTTTGTTCGTCTGCTGGATAGGCGGCTTGTGCGTTGCAGTCTCGGGTTCTCGCGGTGCACGGCTCCATCGACGACGCCCCGGCTGCTGGGTTGGGGCCTGATGGACAGGTCTCGCACAGGCTACGCGACCAATCCGTTGGGGACCTATGTTTGGTACTGTGCCTTATCCGAGCCACGCTGGCCGAAAGCTGGCCAGCCTCCAGCATGATGAGGCCCCGAGGCTCCACGCAGCGGCCGAGAATCATCAACATCTGCACTCTTTTGGCTCCCTGCCCCTCCCCCTCCTGCTCCTTGACCCCCTCCCGTGCCCCCGCCCTCGTCCTCTTCGAGCGGCGTCTTGGGCGCCAAACCAGGGACCAGCGTGGCTTGGCCAGGGGGGTAGTCAGGGGATTGGTCAGGGGCTCAGGAGACGGGGGTCAGTACAAACGGGGGTCAGCCAGGGCACCGAATCCTGCAGAATCCTGCGAAGACCCCGTCGGGCTGACCTGGGTTAGCGAGCCGCTCGTGGCCGCAAGGCGGCCGCGCATATTGGCTGACCCGGGTTTGCGAAGCCCTGCGTTGCAGTTTTTGTTTCTTGCATTGCAGTTGTTTGGTTTCTTGCTGACCCGGGTTTGGATTGACCCGGGTCAGAGGATCCCCGATTGGTCAGGGGTTGGTTCGAGGTTGGCCAGGCGCACATTTCACCCTTGCCCTTTCCACCCCTGGATTTCCTTCTTTTTCCGCTCATCCACCTCCACCCCCATCCGCGTTCGCTTCCTTTTCCTCTCCCCCCTTCATGCCCCCGCCCGTCCCCGCGAGGCAAGCGGATGCGGCGGGGGCTTGAACGATCCACGCGATGCTATCAATGAAAGCCTTCTGTTTCGCGCGGACGTCCGAAAGTTTTCTTAGTACGCAGATGATCTCTATTAAGGATGCAATTTCTGAGAGGTTAGATTTAAACTCGGCGCTGGTATATCCCTGGTCGAGAATTGGTCTAATTTTGTTCCGTCCCGACAAGTCCGGCGTGGTTCCCCTCAAACTGGCCTGACCCCGCCCACTCCGGTCTAGTCCCGCTCCATGGGTTCCTCATCGTGTTTCGTAACCCGTGGTCGTTCTGACGAAGACCTCGAGCTGCCTCCTGATTAGTCGGAGGGGCCTTCTCGGACGAAGATCGGCGAGCGTTCTGGACCGCTCTCAGATCTTGGACGATCTGAGAAGGCTGCGGCGCCCGAGACCATCTCCAGAGCCGCCAGGAGATTCCCGATGTATGCCTCGTCCTGGCTTTCGTCTTCCCTTGACTGCAACATGACCTCAGCCTGGCGGCAGGCCCTCCGCCCCCACCCCGATCGAAGATGACGAAGAAGAAACGCCATAAGCATGAACTTCTGGCGCTCCGCGCGGATTTCTTGGACCCGCGCTGGGCCCCCCAGGGCGACGCCTCCGGCGCCGCCCCTGGCGCGCTCCGCGCGCCAGGGAGGGGGGTCCAGCGCAGATCCAAGAAATCCGCGCGGAGCGCCTAAAGTTTATGTTTATGGCGTTTTTCTTTTCTCCTCCTCCTCCTCCTCCTCCTTCGCCTCCTCCTCCTCATCCACCACCTCCCCCTCCTCTTCGTCCTCCTCCTCCTCCTCCTCCCCGAGGCGTGCTCAATTTCTACGGCCGCGTCTTCGACCCGCAGCTCTACGGCGTGAGCGTGGCCCGCGGCGCGCTCCTGCACCGCAAGAGCCCTGCGGCGTGGCCGCCGGCTCAGGCTCGCCCCCCTGCGGGCGGGGCGCGTGCGCAGCGGGCAGCGCGCGTCATCAGCGGGCAGCCTCCCCGGACCCCCTCGCGTTTCGACAAAAATCAGGACGGGAGGTTTTTCACTGTTTTCGGCCTCTGGGGGCCGTTCTCCGGGGCCTCGGGGCCATCGAGAAACGTCTGGGCAACGTCAGGGCCTCGGAACGAGAATAGGGAAACGAAGAATGACATAAACATCCAATTTCGGAGGTCCGCGCGGACTTCTCGGATCCGCGCTGGGGCCCCCTTGGAGCCCTCTTGGGCCGTCTTGGTGCGATCTTGGGGGTGTCCTGGGCCATCTTGGAGCGTCGGGAAGCCGAAAAGGCGAGAACGACAAGATCTGTAAACCAAAAGACAATCAATGAAGGTTGCGTCTTAGGGCGCCGTGGAGGCTTTTTGGACCGTCTGCAGACTACCGTGGGCTTCTTGGACCGATCGTTCGGCGATTCGGGCCCTCTTAGACCGTCTTGGGGGCCTCTTGGGGCACTCTTGTTCTGTCTTGGGGCCTTTTGGGGCTCCAGACCCCCTGGCCCCCAGGACATGCCCCGGGACCCCCCCAACCCTTGGCGGGGAAGGGCTCAAATGGAAGGGGCTTCCCCGTCGACTCAACTGCGACGTTGCTCAATTTTGCTTTGGCTTGCGCGCTTGAGGAGTACAGTCGGCCCGGATTAGTAGGTCGACCCTGCCAAGTCAAGGGTACTCTTGTGTCCTGTGTCTCGCGACCCATGCCTCTCACATTCCTGTGGCAATGTGGCCCTCGGAAGGGTCTTGTGCCCTCGCGTGTCCTGTCCAATGAAGTCCGACTGAAGGGCCCAGGAAAAGGGATGGAAGTGGCGACGGCGGCGGCGACAGCGACGAAGCCGCACATCTTGTCGTTGACGTAGTCGTGGTCTTGGTGCGGACTGCCGGACATGTCCGCCGTGCCTTGGTCCAGTGGCCGCTCCTGCCCCAGTCAAAGCTGATTCACAGCCAGGGCGCTGAGGAAGGAGCCCTTTTCGTTGGGGAGGGGCTCCGTGTTCCTTGATTGTTTCACAGCTTGCCTTAGGTTTTCCTTCGGTCTTCGCTGGGAAATCGAAGTTTCACTTATGGGAAAACAAGGACCTTTCCGTAGCCATTTTGGCTCAAGTGGCCTCGGCCCAAGGCCCGCGCTGGGGGCCTTCGTGCTGGCGCCTCGCCGCAGCCCGCGGCACACGGCGCCCCCATGGCCGAGGGGGGCGCCAAGGCCGCCGCGGCGGCGGGCGCCGCGCAGGCGGCGGCCGACGCGTCGCGAGGCGCCTCAGCGGAGGAGCCGCCGCCCGAGGAGTCCATCCGGGAGGGCAGCAGTTGGGCGCCAGACCCGCACAACTCGAGGTCCGCGGAGGCGCCCTCGCTCGGCCCCCCGGCCGGCCGCGCGCCGCCGCCCGGCGGCGCGGGGCGGCACGGCGTCCCGCCGCCGCCCGCGGCCGACCTGCCGAGGGCGAAGCGGCGGCGCGCGCAGGCGCCGCGGGGAGGCCCCGCCGACGCCAGCTCGGAGGGTGGGCCGGCCGCGGGCCTGGCGCTGGCGGACATCTCCAGGGACTCGGCGGCGGCGGCGCCCGAGGACGACGTGCCGCCCGCCCCCGCGGCCGAGGAGAGCCGAGCCGCCGAGGCAGCCCGCCTGCAGAGCGAGCTGGACCAGGCGCAGAGCCGCTGCGACGCGCAGCAGGCGAGGCTCATCGCCAACCAGCGAGCGCTGCGGGCCAGCCGCAGGGAGACCGCCGCGCTGCTCGTGCAGCAGGCGCGCGCGGAGGCCGCGGAGGAGCGGGAGCGCCTCGCGCTCACCAAGACGCAGCTGGGCGTATACAGGCACGTCGCGGGTGCGGCGTACAGCTGGGAGGGCGGCTACGAGGAGGCGGAGATCACGCGGCTGAAGGAGCGAATCCTGAACGACAAGAGGGCCATCCAGAGCCTGCGCACGAGGCTCAGCAAGAAGCAGCGGCTGGCCGCGGTGGGCGGCGGCACGCCCGCCAAGGGCGAGGCGCGGGACGAGGCCAGCGGCGGGGACCCGGCGCGCGGCGATGCCGGCGGCGAGGAGGGCGATGAGGCCGACGAGCTGTGGGAGGCCCGCGAGATCAGCACCTGCCGCATGAGCTTCCTGAGCAGGGAGGAGGGCATGGTGAAGGAGAGAGAGCAGCGGCTATCGGTAGAGAGGAACTTGTTCTTCAAGAGGCAGCAGTTGCACGAGATGTCGCAGCGGTCGAACTTTGGCGGCTATCGTCTGCTGTCGGGTTCGGGCTCAACGCAAGCACAGGAACATTACCAGCTGCTCAACATGATTGGCAAGGGCGGTTTCAGTGAGGTGTACCGGGCCTACGACCTCGAAACCGGCTGCTACTGCGCGGTCAAGATCCACGAGCTCAGCAGAGACATGACCGATGCCCAGCGGCAGAGCTACGTCAAGAGGGCCACTCGCGAGCTGGAGATACAGAAGTCTATCAAGCACCCTCGCGTCGTGTCGTTTCTCAACTTCATTCCGATCAGCAATCAAGCTTTTGGCACTGTGCTTGAGCTCGTTGAAGGTGACACACTCGACGAGTACATAAAGCGAAATGGTGCGTTGTCAGAGAAAGAAGCCCGCGGCATTGTTATCCAGATCCTCAGCGGGCTGAAGTACATGAACACGGGTGGGAGGAAAATCATACACTACGATTTGAAACCTGCTAATCTCTTCTACCACTTCGGTGAGATCCGGATCACCGACTTCGGCTTGTCGAAGACTGTGGATCAGGGGAACGGCGTTTCCATAGACAACACTTCTCAGGGTGCCGGGACCTATTGGTACTTGCCGCCAGAGTGCATGGTCGATATCGGGCAGAAGGAGGCTGGAAAGATCAGCAACAAGGTGGACGTGTGGTCCACGGGTGTGATTTTCTTCGAGCTGCTTATCTCCAGGAGGCCCTTTGGGCACGGCCAGTCTCAAGAGGCTCTCCGGCGCGCGGCCAATTCCGCGTTCCAGCAGTTCTCAGTGGAGTTTCCGAATGGGCCGAAGGACCCGAAGGTGCCGAACGAGGCAAAGGATTTCATCAGAAGACTCCTCACGTACGACCGGGAGCAGCGCCCGGACGTGCTCGAGGCGTTCAACGACCCCTACATCCGCTCGCGTGGCCAGCGGCCGGGCGGCGTAGCCGCAGGGGCCTCTGGGGCGCCCGCGCCAGCGGCCGCCGCCGCGGCGGGGTAGCAGAGGTTCCTCCGACCCCGGAGACGGCCCGCCGCGCCCCGTGGCTGGGAAAAAAAAAACTTATGGGAAAAAAAGGACCTCGTTCCTTATTTAGGGTTCCTTAGGTCAGCGCCCGACTGCAACCTTGGCATGAAGGAAGCGGGTTCGAGGGTGAACGAGAAGGGGGAACCGGCTGACGGAGGGAAGTATGGACCAGGAATCGGCAACACTTACATCGCCGATAGATCGGCGATAGGCCCCCGATGACAGCTGCCTACGCTCCTGGGCGGGGTGGACTGCGGGACCCCATGCCATTGGACATTGCGGGATTGTCACGCCGTCCATTCCTACAGGATGAGAAAACGACAAACGACAAGCAAATGGTTGATCGCACTCATTTGTTTTATGTGAATGAAGCCGCGTGGCCCGTCACGCGTCTCAAACGCCCTCAGCGTTGATCCCCCACCCAGCAGTTGCGCGCGGTCTTTCCAGTTGGTGGGCGAGGACCAAGAATCGAACTTCCATGAGCAACGCCTTGGTATCGTGTCTGGACGGGGTGATGGGAGTGTGGGAAACGTGAAAGGTATGGGCAATACATCCGGCCGCGAATGACGCCAAACATGTTGAAGATCCCGAGTAGAATTTCTATCCGACCGTGAAGGACACCAAGAAAAACAGACGACAAAAGCAAACACAATTCGACGACCAAAGAAGGGCCGACGAAATGAATCCGGCGCGATCCCTATGAATTGCATGGGTGCCTCGTTTGGCGCATCGTTTGGCATTGGCATTGCTTGGCATTGCTTGGCATTGTTCTGCGTTGCTTGGCACCTGGCATTGCTTGGCATGGCCTGGCATTGCTTGACATTGTTTGGCATTGATTGGCATTTGACATTTCTTGGCATCGCTTGGCAATGCTTGGCAATGCTTGAATTAAGCTTGGCATTTCTTGGCATTGCTTGGCATTGCTTGGCATTACTTGCCACCACTTGGCATTGTTTGGCATTTCTTGGCATTGCTTGGCATTGCTTGGCATGGGCTGGCATTGCTTGGCATTGCTTGGCATTGCTTCGAACGGGTTGGAATTCCCTGGCATTGCTTGGCATTGCTTTGTATGGGTTGGAATTGTTTGGCATTGCTTGGCATTGCTTGGCATTGCTTTGAATGGGTTGGAATTGCCTGGCATTGCTTGGCATTGCTTGGGGCAACCGGGGGCGGTGAACCCGAGGAACCCAGGGAACCTCCGAGGAGCGGGCAACGTAACAATGAGAGGCATTGAGGCGGGGAGCCCGAGGAACCTGGGGAGCCCGAGGAATTTCCAGGAATTGGGCAACGTAACAATAAGAGGCACTGGGGGCGGGAAACCCGAGAAGACCGAGGAACCTGAGGAACCTCCGTGCAACGGGCAAAGTAACAACAGGGGGCACCGACCTTTCACGAAGTAAGAACCCCGGAGGCGAGCCTGATTGGGGAAAGAACAGGCCGACGACAAGAAGGGTGGCCGACGACGAATCCAGCAGCCAAGAAAACTGCCAACGACCAGAAACAAGGAGGCGGACGCAACCTCCGCCAGCGGTGCAGAGCCGCGACGCAATCCGGAGTGGCGACGGCACGCTGCCCCTCGGAAGGCGTGCGGCACGGACGGCGGACTCGCCGGGCGCCCTGCAGAGGCCTTCGGGATGTGGACCACGGGGCCAGCTTGTCGCACGGCGGGGTCGGGCAGTGCTGCCCACGGGGCCAATGTGGCACACGGCTTGGTCGGGCAATGTGTCGTCGCGCGCTCCGCGCGGCCAAAAGGCTCGCGCGCGCGGGGGGGGATTCCCCGCGCGCGTGCCGATCATTTTATAGCGTGCGCGCTGGAGATGCGCGCGCGCGCGCCGATGCCATCGCGCGCGCATCCGCTACGGGCGAAGCGTTAAGTCGGGCCTGTCCCCCTACAGGGGGACTTTCGACGAAAAATAAAGAATACAATAAACATATTACAAAATGCTTCAAAAATGATTAGGGGATTATTTTTTGAGTATTTTCTGACCTTTTGGGGGCATTTTGGGTGATTTCGTCGACAATCCCCCGGTAGGGGGACACGCCCGACACAAGCGAAGCGCGAGGCGAGCGCGCGCGCGCGCTGTGGGATTGACAAGCGCTCGCAACAAAGCAGCGACTCACCAGAAACAGCGCGCAGTCCGTCGACGTTGAGCACGGCGCGAGAACAGCGTCAACGCGAGAGCCGTGATTCGGGGAGGGCGGTGATGTCAGAGTCAAATCCGCAGATCGCCCAACGCAGGTCGGCATGCTTCGCCGGTTGGACATAAGTTCACACTGTGTTTGGAAAGTCGCTCAATGCGTTTTGTCGAACGATCTGTCTGTGCATCCTGTCCATTTACGTAATAAGGAGGTGAGGATTGGGGTTCGAAGCGTCGGCCTCTGAGCCTATCTCCCGCTGGCGTGGCCTCCCGGCACACGCCGGGGTGGGGCGGGCCGGCGTTCTTTCCCGCGCGCGCGCGGGGGCGCGCGCACCGCGAGGGAGCGCGCGCGAAGGGGCAGGAGGAGGAGGAGGAGGAGGAGGAGGAGGAGGAGGAGGAGGAGGAGGGAGGAGGAGGAGGAGGAGGAGGAGGGAGGAGGAGGAGGAGGAGGAGGAGAGGAGGAGGAGGAGGAGGAGGAGGAGGAGGAGGAGGAGGAGGAGGAGGAGAGGAGGAGGAGGAGGAGGAGGAGGAGGAGGAGGGGGGAGGAGGAGGAGGAGGAGGAGGAGGAGGAGGGAGGAGGGAGGAGGAGGAGGAGGAGGAGAGGGAGGAGGGAGGAGGAGGAGGAGGAGGAGGAGGATGAGGAGGAGGATAGGGAGGAGGAGGAGGAGGAGGAGGAGGAGGAGGAGGGCAGGCGTCGACCACGGGCGTTGGCTTTCAGAGGCCACACCTCGGGCCTCGCCCGCGGGCGTTCTCGGGACCATCCGGGGGGCAGCCCTGGAACGCCCCCTCGGCGCGGCGCCAGCTGTCGCAGCACCTCCCCAGGACGGGAAGCCACCGAGAACGATTTGGACGACGACGGCGATGACGACGACGGAGCACGGAGGACGGAGGAGGAGGAGGAGGAGGAGGAGGAGGAGGAGGACGACGACGACCACGAAATGGCGCCCGAAATGGGTACGGAGAAACAAGTGTACAATGGCCAACAGCACATGTGGTCCCAAGCCAACAGCGGCCGCTGTTGGGCAGGCGGCCCTCTGTTTTAAAAAAGACGCAGGCCGCGGCGGCGCGGACAGCGAGTCCTGTCCAACATGAACAGGAACTGCTGCTGGGCATTGCACCCATCCTTTCCGCACCCATGTCGGTCGTCCCGGAACGAGCAACCTCCGAAGCGTCAGGAGCCATTGGGCCTCGACTTTGTGGGCCCCGGAAACGGCAGGGCCGTTTTTTCACCGTTTCCAAAAAAATGCCCCTTGAAAATGGAAACGGCAAAAAAACGGCGACCTGAAACGGCAGAGAAACGGCTCCAGGATTGGAGCCGGAGCCGGAACCGGTCAAAAAAGGGCGACGGAACCGGTAAAAAGACGGCGTCGGAACCGGCGAACAAACGGCAGAACGGAACCGGTAAAAAACCGGCCCTGTCGTTTCCAGGGCCCGCTAAGGGCCTCGATGCGCGGAACCTCGCCCCCCCTTTGGGCCTCTCCCCACCTGGGTCTCCTCCCCCCCCGGTGGCCCTCCTCCTCCGCCGCCGCCTCCGGCCGGGGCGGTCCAGCAGGGGCCTCGCCTCCGAGATACCCCGCATCGAGAAGCTGGCATCCCCTCTGTCCTCCGCCCCCCACCAGCCTCCTAGGAGGAGGAGGAGGAGGAGATGAGGAGGAGGAGGAGGAGGGGGAGGAGGAGGAGGAGGAGGAGGAGGAGGAGGAGGAGGAGGAGGAGGAGGAGGAGGCGGAGGAGGAGGAGGTTTCTTCCGACGGAGCGAGGGCCAGTGTGTGGGGGCCATGTGGGCCGTGCGGGGAGGGCGGGCGAGGCGGAGAGGAGGGGGCGGACTGGGGAGGAGGGGGGGAGCGAGGGAGGCTGGGCGGGGATCTCGCGCCAGCGCCCCAGGCGAGATACGTGGAGAGCGGCTTCTGCCCAGGCCCGCGAGGGGGGTCTACTCGGCATCTGCAGGAGCGGGCGGAGAGAGTCTTAGGATGGGCAGGAGGAGGGGGAGGGAGGAGGAGGAGGAGGAGGAGGAGGTGGAGGAGGTGGAGGAGGATGAGGAGGTGGAGGAGGTGGAGGAGGAGGAGGAGGAGGAGGGGGAAAAGGACCAGTGAAAACCCATGACTCATCAACAGTGTTGCAATCAGCCTTCCCTTTGAAGTTCCTCCGTCATGGGTCCCTACAAGGGTTCCTGCTTCTCCGAGGGAAGTGCCCCGTTGGAAGACCACCGTCTGAGGAGGCGGAGGACCGAGGAGGCGGAGGCGGAGGCGGAGAAGAAGACAGCTGTCTTGCATGTCTTGGTTCTTGCCGACGCGCGCTGCTGCAGCACCAGGGCCTGACTTTTATGTCGTCGAGCGCTGCGCTCCGAACAGTTGCTGTTCTCGGGTCGTTCCCACCAAGACGCGACGGCTCGGGCGAGCCAGCGTTCCCAGACCCCCGACGTCATGTTTTTTTCATGACGCGACCCCCAGATGTCCGGACCCATTCCCTGGGACCACTTTTTTATCCTGGTCAGTTTTTGTTGGCGGTCCCGCGGCCCGGTGAGGGTCCCCAGAGGCCGAACATCGTGAAAAACTTGCCGTCGTGATTTTGTCGTGCCTCGAGGGGGTCTGGGTTTGTCCAACGTAGAACGGGGAAGGGGACGCCGGGCGCGCGCTCGAGGCGCGAGCGAGTTCGACGCCCTGTCCCACGGGTCGATGCTAACCCGGGAGGAGCCGCCCGGGCGTGCGGTGAAGCCGAGAAGGAGGAGCAGGAGGAGGAGGAGGAGGAGGAGGAGGAGGAGGAGGAGGAGGAGGAGGGGGAGGAGGGGGAGGAGGGGGAGGGGCAGGAGGAGGAAACAGATGGGGGAGGAGGAGGATGATGATGATGATGAGGAGGAGGAGGAGGAGGAGGAGGAGGAGAAAGAGGAGGAGCAGCAGGAGGAGGAGGAGGGGGGGGGAGGAGGGGGGGCCCACGGTCGGGGTGGCGGAGGGGGGGCGCACAGTGAGGCGGGGGACGTCGGTCGGATTTGGGCGACTGGGCTCCTTCCTGGGCCAAGGGCGCCCTCGAGGGGGTGGAAGTTCTTCGCGCGTCGCGTTTCGCTGTGCTGCTCCGATTCCTCCTCGTCCTACCTCTGTCCCCTGGGGGGCCGCGCGAGAGCGCGAGGTCAAGCGCGCCCTCGCGCTTCGCGCAGCGCGAAGCGCGAAGTTGGGAGCCCTTGTTTGCAAAGGGTGTGTCGAACATGTGTGCAGCAGTTCGTGCACTCGTTCGTGAGAGATACGCACGTCTTGCAACATCAGCACGTGGCTGCAGAGGCCATGCGCCACGGGATGAATTACGGCGGTTGTTTGTTTTGCGAGCTTGTTGCGAACGACCCTCTCTGCCCAGAGCCAAGTCGGCTCCAAGGCGCACGCAAGAGCGTCGCCGAACTGCGGGAGCGCGGAGCTGCCCCGGCGGGGGCCGATCGCGGTTGTGTCTTCGATTCCAGGGTCCTCTGTTCCCCCCTGGCCAGTCCTCCTCCGCCCTCCTCCTCTTTCTCCTCTTTCTCCTCTTTCTCCTCCTCCTCCTTCTCCTCCTCCTCCTCCTCCTCCTTTTTATCCTTCTCCTCCCCCTCGGGATGGCAGAGTGGTTATCGCAGTTCCGCGAATCCGATGAGGTGGTCATTCGAAGTCGTCCTCGCCGCTCCAGCAAATTTCGGTTCTAGAGAAGATGATGTTAGGGAACTAGTACTTCAGTATGCACCCCTCCATTGATCTTGTTCTTCCTTGCCACAAATTACAGGGCACAAACATCCAAAGAGATAGCTGACATCCGCCCGACAGGAAGTTCTCATGATCTTCTACATGCGAGAGCCACTTACTGGATCATACCCACTGAGGCCTCCTTCTGAGACTGACGCCACCTTTTTTACCCTCAAAGCTTTCTCCCAACATCTCCCTTCCTTTCGTGCTGACTAGTGTACCAGAGACCTTGTTAAGTTCGTGGCCGACCTCTCGGCGATACAGACAAGCTGTGCGACCGTGTGTGTTCAAGTGTGATTCTCATGAGAATGCAGATGATATCCTTCACTACTGCGGCTGTCCCCCTCTCCGCTCCGCCCTGCTTCGGCTGCTGCCTGTCCTCCCTCGCTGCTAGGTGACGGATCCGACCGAGTGATGTTTCCCGTGCAGGTGGTCTAGAGAGCGCGATCGGTTGTGTTCGTGCGCAATTGTTCTTCACATTGTAGTTTCGGCTTTCGCCTCTGCGCAGTCAGGATCCCAGGCGTCAAAGCCTCAGCCCTCAGCTGCCCGCCTGCGCGCGAGGGCGGCGTTCAGCTGCTCTTCGGAGGACGGCAGTGGGATCTCCCCCTCCGCAACCCTCTTCACCGCGTGGCGCTCCTCCTCTTCGTCTTCCTCCTTGTTTTCCTCATCCCCCCTCCCCTCCTCCTCCCCCTCCCGCAACCCCTTCCCCCACCTCCTCCTCCTCCTCCTCCTCCTCCTCCTCCTCCTCCTCCTCCTCCTCCTCCTCCTCCTCCTCCTCCCTCTCCTCCCCCCCCCACCTCACGCCACCCCCCGTGGAGAGCGGCGGGCACGGAGCACTGCGGGGTGCCCGCCTCTCCGCGCGGTGACCACATCGACTGGTGAGCCAGTGGCCATGCCTTGCGCCCCCTCCTCTTGGACGCCCCTCCTCTCGGACGCCCCTCCTCTCGGACGCCCCCATCTCGGACGCCCCCCTCTCGGACGCCCCCGAGGGGGGTAAGAGGAGGGAGGGGGGTGGAAGGGAAGGAGGGAGGAAGAGGGAGGGGGGATGTGGAGGAGGAGGAGGAGGAGGAGGAGGAGGAGGAGGAGGAGGAGGAGGAGGAAGAGGAGGAAGAGGAGGAGGAGGAGGAGGCCGGTTTCCGAGGACGTCTCGGGCGACCGGGGCATCCGAGGTCCCAAGGCCGTGCGAGGGCGGACCGCGCGGTGAGGTCGCTGGGGATTCCGAGGTCGCCGCACAGTCCGTCAGCACACGGCTGTGGGACCCCGGAGGAGGGTGGGGCGCCGTCTTCGGTGGATGTGCATCGGCGAACCCGTGCAGGCGACAGTATCTTGTTTTCAATGGAGGGGTTGGCCATCACGAGCCTCCTCCAACCCCGCCTGCGGCCCTGTACGCCCTGACCGATCGCCCGAAGGCCAGAAGGCAGGGTTGCCACCTGGAGGACTGGAAGGGGGAGGAGGCGGAGGAGGAGGAGGAGGAGGAGGAGGAGGAGGACGACGGCGACGACAACGAGAAGGAGGAGAGGGATGACCCGAGCAGGGTCGGTTGACCGATGCTGCTACACGTGTCCAGTCTTTTCTGAGCCTCATGGGGCGCCCTCGCGGCCATCGCTGGCTCCGCTCAAGGAACCCTGGCCAGAACGCAGCCGAGAGCGCGCCTTGGAATCGATCGAGGCTTGCGCGGGGGGACGAAGGGGCAAGCGGCGCATCCAGTGGCGCATGGGCTGGGTGTTTATCCTTCTTGCCCAGCCGTGGTTTGTCCAGCGTGTCCTCCTCTCGATGGCGGCCAAGAGGGGGGTGATGATTAGGGGGGGGGCCTATCATGGCGGGGGCCCTTATATCTTCCCAGATCTCCTGGCCCCTTTTCTTATTTCCTTACGTCCCCCGCCCCCCCCCCTCTGGGCCGCGCACGTGCCGTCGGCCATGAGCTGCGCCCCCCCTCCTGGACGCCCCCCTCCTGGCGGCCCCCGATCCTCATGTCGGAGGAGGGCCCCTTGGAGACAGCGCCGGCTCTGCCGCTCGGCCCCAGTCCACTCAAAGTTTGCCCCCGCACTCCTCCCGAGGAGTCTCTCCCATGGCATTATGGCCCGTCCTCTCCGCGGTGCGGGCCCGGACATGGCGACGAGAGGCCTCCGGGAGGCTGGGAAGTGCGGGTCGAGGAGGAAGTCGGCCATGCGCGGAGGGGAGTGGGGGGAGGGGGGAGGGTTTCTGAGAAGCACCCCTGCTTCGTAGAAGGCGCGGGCCTTACCTTTCGATGTGCGGCCGGCGTCCTCTAGAAGAAGCATCCTCTTTCTAAGAAGCCCGCCCCCCTCCCTCCACCCCCTTGTGCGCGCCGCCATGTAAGAGGTCGGCTACAGGGGACTGGTGCGAGCACGACCGTGTGCACCCGATTGCGTTGAAAGACCAACCATATACAGATCGTAAAGAGAGGGACGGCGACCGCCCGGACCAAACATTCGGGCCGGACGAACGGGGGGGATTGGGAAAGGGGGGGGGGGTACGAAATTTGCTGCATGCAGCTGCTTTCGGCCCCACCGAGGGGCCCATTCCTCGATACATAGCCGCCTCCGGCGCCAGGAAGATCAGCTACGTGAGCTGATTCACAAACCCCCCCTTTGCTATCCCCCCCTTTCGCCCGACCCGAAACATGTAGCCAGCATTGAGGCGGGAGCGCGGATTTGGATACATGGATACATCGTGAGGAGCGTTCCGGCGGAAAGGCTGCTGGACGGGGCGTCCTCGGGGCTCCCCGTCCCCCCCCGCGGTGGGAGTTTTTGTTTGTTGTGGGGGGGGGGGGATCTACTGCTACGGTGAGGACACTCGTTGAGGAATGTTCAGGAGGGAAAAAAAAAACACACAGACACAATGAATCGACGATCCCCAGGAAAATATAGGAAAAAACGGGAAGTGGGGGGGACGACAAAAACCCAGAAAATATGGGAACATATGGGGAATCTGTTTATTGAATCGCTTCGCTCATTCCGCCGGCCCGTGATATGGCATCGCTGGTTTTTGTCTGTGTGTTCGTTGCCCATGTTGCGCTCTTGGGGGCGGGTGTCGTTCGGACGCGTTGCGTGGGGAGTTTTGATGGTGAAGCAGTTCCCTGGGGGTCGTCTCTCGATGGGGCGAAATAGAGTCGTCGTCAAGATGCTTCTTTGGGGGGCCTCTTGGGGTCTGTTGAGAGGCCGTTCGGGGGCGCCTGGGAGACATGTTTGAAGCCTTCTGGGGCTTCTTTTGGGCCTCCTGGGAGTCTCCTGGGGCCTCTTGGCGACATCTTGGGGCCTCTTGGAGGCCTCTTGGGGCCTCTTTGGGACCTCCTGGGCGCCTTCTGGGACGGAGGGCTCCATTTTTGAGTTCTCGGTATCCCTCCTGAGTCCCTCTTGGGCCCGTCTTGGGGCCTCTTGGTCCGTCTTGGGCGGCACTTGGGCCGTCTTGAGGGCTCTCTTGGGTCGTTTCGGCGCCGTCTTGGGAGCTTCGTGGGCCGTCTTGGAGCGGTCTTGGGGGCCTCTTGGGCCGTCTTGGAGCGTCCGGAAGCCGAAAAAGCCAGAACACAAAAAACATCGAAAAAACAAATGAAAATCAACGATTTTGGCCTCTTGGGGCTCTCTTCGGAGGCCTCTTGGAAGGCTCTTGGGGCGTCTTGGAGGCCTCTTGGGCTGTCTTGGGGGCCTTTTGGGCCGTCTTGGGGTCATCTTCGGCGTCTTCGAGCGCTCTTTGGGCGTCTCGGGGGCCTCTTGGGCAGTCTTGGGGGCCTCTTGGGGCACTCTGAGCGCGCTCTGGGGAGCCTGAGAGGCCGCACCCAGAAGGAAAACCATCTCTGAGTAGACTTGGTCGGGCGGCTCGGGCGGCGACCGGGCGTTGGTCGGGGTACTTTTCGCCGGGGGACCCCCAGGGGCCGCCCCGCGCGCGCGAACTAGAAATACTGTTAATACTGTTAACCAGTTACCGGAGATCTTAGCACGCCCTGGCCCGTTGGGCCGGCGAATTTGTGTGTATGTAT